CTGATCAAGAATATATGTACTTTATAGGGTCGGAAACGATTCCTTCTGGACGTTACACACATCTACTTTTACCACAAATCAAATATACCCCAATACTCATTTTGAGTATCGGGTATAATAGTAATAATAACACTCGTCATTGAATACTACTGATTGCTAAATTCAAAATTAGCGCCATAACATCTACTGGGGAAGAAGGGACCGCTCATCGCACAATAATATTGAAGTAGTGGTTTTATATCGATATATTCCCTAAATCAGCCTTGATGAGTCGATATTCGAACTGTCAGAGCTACGAGCATTAGTCAAATTGCGTGTATCTCACAAAAGTATCGATGAAATATGAAAATTTTCGCGTAAATCTGAACAATTCAGTCAACAAATAAAATTATAAAAAAATAAAATGCTCTGATAGCCTGGAGACGGCTACAATAATAATCTTAGGTGTAGGTAAAACCATTGTCAAAAGAATATTTATATCGATATATAAAAGTCAACCTTGGATGCGATAGTCGGGCTGCGGAAAAATATCTGCACGATATTCGAGCTGTCAGAGGAAACGCGAACCTACCAGGCAGACTTCCGTTCGACCATCGTTCTTTCGTTCTCGACCCGTCAAACCGACCAGAAGGAAAATGAGAGCTAAGGTAATAAGAATTTTTGCAAGACAAGATAATGAGTGCAGAAAAGAATTGGAGTAGAGCAAGACTAAAAGTGGAAACAGATTTAGACTGCAATTTAATTGTTTTTATCTCGTTTTCAGTGGCGTAAGAAGCGTATGCGTAGGTTGAAGCGTAAGCGCAGAAAGATGCGTGCACGTTCCAAGTAGGTGCAGCGCCATCGACCACTAACTGGTGAGTACCCGCTTGGCCACAGGAGCCCTAGCGACACGCAAGATTCTAATTTGCCGTTTTTTGTTCGTTTCAGGAACTTTTGACCTACAAGCACACCACTACTGAAACATGCCGTCTGGGCCCCACGTTGTGGCCCGAAAGTAATTTTGTAAAAACAGTTTTCACGCAAAACAAGAAAATGTGCATTTAAAATACACTTCCGAATTTCACGTTTAAATTGATTCTAATAAATTACTGGATTTTCACAAAAGTTCCAACTGAATCAAATCATGTGTTCTTAATAATAGAGTGGTAGAGAAAAAAGCGGCACCCAGCGTGCTGTTTCAACATAACCACATTTGTATGTCATCTGTGTGTGTGTATGTAGCGCACAGAGCACGTTTTGGCTAAAATGTTACACTAATTTTTGACATTCCGATAATTTTTATTCGTGAAATATAGAGTAATTTTTTTCTCAAGCTTGGAAGTTTATGACACCGTGCCGGCAGAAAACTGGAGAAAGTAATCGCTTGAAACAAGAAGATTAGTGAGAGTGAGTAGCGTTTGGTAGCCAAATGCCAAAACCAATTCAATCCACCATAGCCGACGCACCGTCCGACCGACCGACTGACCACATTAAACATTGATCATCGTGCTCCCGGCCAAGGCAGTAAATTTCCACTTAATCGGCTAATACAATTACACAAAGTACAATCAGACCAAGGGCTGCTGTTGCTTGCCCCTTGGGAGCGCGTGTCGTGCGCTCGTCAGATTGGCCGGCTCCGCTCCGTTCCGTTCTGTTCCTGGGGCACCATTCGGAAATATCGATTTGTTTGCCGGAGAGGAGAAAAAGAGCGGCAGCCGAGCCGAGCGTTGTTCATTAGCGCCTTGATTTCTTCAATTATATATGTATGCAGATGTGCCAGCCAGAGCGGCCTGGCCTGCCGCCTGCCTGTTTTTCATGCTAAGGATGATGTTTCTGTCTGTCTGCCCGCCACTCCTCCCCCACTATTCTGAAGGTCGTTTGTCACTGTAATACACACATAAACGTCGCTCAACCGAGTAAGCAGAAATTTTAATGTAACAAGCAAAAATTACGATTGGGTGGCAGTTTGCCATTTACCATTTTGTGTGCCTTTTCTGTAAATTTGCATGCGCCTTTGGTTACGCTACGCTGCCGCTGTCGTCGCCCCCTCCAAACCACACCCCATATAACGCCCTACCATTCCGTTCTAAGGGATGGATGGTGGCGAGTGGAGCTTGGGAGGATAAGCATGTGTACTTTTAAGTGCACAGAACGAAAGTTGTGTAGGGTCTTGTTCGGGCAAACATGCGGTGTCGTCTGTGGCTGTGTCTTATCACTGGAGCAGACAACCGACGTCGCCATGGTTTGCGAAGTGAGGCAGTTCAGTTGTTTGCTTTGCCTGTCCGGCATTTGCCACTTGCATAAAGAGTGTCCCATTAAATGCAATTAAGCACTTTGATTCTCCTCCGCCTAAGTCTGTATAGGTTTTTGTTCCACAAACACACACACTCTCACGTGTACATGCATGAGTAAACATTGCATTGGCGCTGCCAATGGATGCGTGCAAAGTCCGGCAACATTGCGGCACATGTTCTAATCAGAGATGAGCAGGGTCGTGCAGTGATTTTAGTAGTCACGATATGGTCTTCCAGTGACTGGCTCAAGTTGCCATTCACTATTGTTCGTTATGAACTTTTGGTTGACTAAGCTTTAGTAAACAATAAGATTTAATTATAGATTGGCAGACTGTTTGCCCTGAGTAAGTACCCAATCGATAAAGAACATCACTCGATGTCAGGTACTTGGTCACAGGCTCATCTCCCCTCCTGGTCACTTGCATGTTTATTTTTCCAGGCCCAGCCCAGCCCGGCCCGGTATATGTGCCGTTATTTGGAATTATTTCCCCACGACACGTGGCATGAAAAGTCGCCAAGTCTTGGTACACTTGCATGTTCGTCTATAATTTGTCCTTTTGCGGGCTGCTGCGGCTGTGTTGGCCAGTTTTGTTTGAGTCACGTAAATACGGTCGCAAGTTTGCCTCTGCCCCAGAGTCGGTACCGTAGCCCCGTGCATGGCATGGCATGACCCATATTCCTGCCCTGCCAGTAAAGTACATGTGAGTGGATGTGTGTGTGTGTTTGGTTCATTGTTTGCCCATAGCTCCAAAAATTTATTCTCACTTTTGAAATTTAACGAGCCCGCGCGGCGGCATTTACGCTGATTTCCTTTTTGGCTTTCGAGAGGGCCACGAGGGTCGTTCTAGGCGTTTCCATTAACCCCCGCCGCTGGTCGCTTGCCAGGAAAAAGTGCATTTCCACTTGTGCACACACAATGCAAATGCAAATGCAACAAAATCAACAGCAAAAACAAAACCAAAGTCGCGTCGCGTTCCATTTCCGTTGTGCCACTTGCAGTTGCAGTTGCACTGCGCTGCCCATACCCATGCTCTGACCGCCCGCCCCGCCCCTCAATTGTTGCCCCTGGCTGGGACTGGGTCGCGTCTGTGTGTGACTTTTTAATTAGTGGCAATGGAGGCCAAATGGGGTGGCAGGGCAGCAGGGCTTGCTTGGCTTGGCCCCGGCACATTTTGGGTCTGCAGATAATGGATACTGAGCCACTTACCTCCTCGTATATGAAGGTGTCAATCTCCTCGAGCGGCTTGCCGTACATATCCTCCGGAAAGGGCTCAAACTTCCGCGGCAGCACATCGCCGTCCTCCACGGAGGCTTTGGTGCGCGGGTGGAAGCCATATTCCCGCACCAGCTGGATGTGCCGGTTCTCGTGCTTGACCTGCGACCTCTGCGTGTAGGCAACGACCTGGTGTTTGGCAACAGCTGCAAGGAGAGGAAGCACAACAGAAAGATGATCAGGGGTGTACAGAGGTTTGGTTGAGAATGAACTGTTTTGGCTTGGTTTGGTGAATTTGCGTGCATTACCAAGTGCCACACTCCTACCACCCCCAGTATAGCTAATCGGCCGCCCTTTCTATTCCAGCAATCAGAAATATGCCTGATAATACTCCGCTCGTACAGTTGCTGCAAGCCTTAGGCGGCGGTGTCGCTGGGGGCTTGACTAGGACCTTGGTGCAGCCGTTCGACGTGATCAAAATTCGCTTTCAGATGCAAGTGGAGCCGGTGGGCAAGCACGGATACGAATCGAAGTACCAGGGTCTGCTGCACGCCTTTCGTAGCATATACAAAGAGGAGGGACTACGGGGAATCTGGCGTGGTCATAACTCCGGCCAGGTGCTGAGCATTACCTATGCAGTCGTGCAGTTCTGGTCGTACGAGCAGCTTCGAGTCAAGGCCCACAAGATGCCCTTCTTCGACGACCGACCGCTACTCTTGTACTTTGTATGCGGGGGATTGGCCGGATGTCTTGGCACCGTGGCTGCTCAGCCCTTCGATGTAATCCGCACTCAAGTGGTGGCCGCCGATCCCACCAGCAAGAGGAGTCGCATGAGCTCCCTGAGAGGTGTACACTTCGTACACTCTACCGAAGGATTGCGAGGCTTGTCCCGTGGCTTGGTCTTTACCCTGGCGCAGATCTTTCCGCTAGTAGGTGCCAACTTTCTCATCTACAAGTACCTGAACGCCCTTGTCCTCTTTATTGTCAAGAAGTCAAATCCCGACCACAACATTCCTGGTCCCTGCCTCTTCGTCAATGGTGCCCTCGCCGGGGTGTCGTCCAAGTTACTGGTCTATCCAGCAGATCTGATGAAGAAGCGCATGCAGCTGCACGGTTTTCACCAGGATCGACAATCGTTCGGTCGGAATCCCATTTGTCCGACGGCAAAGCAATGCTTCATGACCACCTTAAAGGGTGAGGGCATCTCCGGCTTTTATAAGGGGGTTAGCCCCACACTCCTTAAGTCCGGCTTATCCAGTGCCTTCTACTTCACTTTCTATGACTACATTAACCGCTACGTCATCCATCCTATGCAGGACCGGGAAGAGCAGCGTCTGAAGGAAGAGAAGGCCAAGAGCGCCGCACCTAAAAAGGCCGGCTGGACCTAATAAAGATGCCCCATATGGGTGATGCCAGCACCACACAGTCTCGTTAGCGAGCCCTAAACATCCTACCGCTGACCCATAGACAGAAACGATTAAACACACCGGGAATGAGTTAAATTATTACACTAACATGGTTTATTTTGTACATCGGCACCGTTGGGAAGCGGCAGTGAGGGAGGGAAAAGTTCCTCCTTCAGATGTGGACATGTGGAATGTGGATGAGCGAACGAGCCATACGAGTATTATAAGTTAAAAGTCCAATGGAATCGGGTGAACTTGTGGGAATGAGCAATAGACTAGATGGCCGGATGGCCAATGCAGGAAACGGCCCCTACGACCAGTTGGAGGCAGATCCCGACCAGCCACCGACGGCGGGGGGCGAGTAATTGTAACCGTCCCCACCCCCGGAGGATGCACCGCCATGAGACCCACCGCTATATCCTCCGCTGGAAGCGACAGCAGCCGTCACCACCTGGCTATCGTAGCTGCTTCCTCCGCCGGAACTGTAGCCCCCAGAGCCGTGTCCGCCGGAGCTGTAGCCCCCTGAGCTGTAGTCTCCGCTGTTGTATCCTCCAGCGCCAGAGCCCGCGCTAGCTGCAATGGCTGCAATATGGGCATCATCGTGTCCGCCAGAGCTGTAGCCTCCCCCCGAGCTATAGCCTCCCGAGCTGTAGCCTCCGCTGCTGTATCCGCCAGCACCCGAAGAGCCGTGGGAGGAGGTATCAGCGCTAGCTGCAATAGCCGCAATATTAGCTATAGCATGACCAGAATCGTGTCCGGAGCTGTAGCCACCGGAACTGTAGCCTCCGGAACTGTGTCCGCCAGAGCTGTATCCTCCAGCACCCGATGAACCGTGAGAGGAAGAGCCAGCGGCAGCTGCAATTGCCGCAATCTGAGCATCATCGTGGCCAGAGCCATGTCCCCCAGCGCTGTATCCTCCGGAGCCGTGTCCGCCAGAGCTGTAGCCTCCGGAACTGTATCCTCCGGAACTGTATCCTCCGGAGCCGTGTCCGCCAGAGCTGTATCCTCCGGATCCGTGCCCGCCAGAGCTGTAGCCACCAGATCCGCCGTGATTCTCGGTAATAATGGCATAGGTACTGACGTGGCCTCCTCCACCGCCATGTCCATCGTCATGGGAGTGAATCTCATAGCCGCCGCCGCCGCCACCTCCTCCATGCCCACCGTCATGGGAGTGAATCTCATAGCCTCCGCCGCCACCACCGCCTCCATGCCCACCATCATGGGAGTGAATCTCATAGCCTCCGCCGCCACCACCGCCTCCGTGATGATCTCCCCCGCTCTCGGGCAGGTGGATGCGAATGTGGACGTGCTCCCGTCCAAATGAGGGCTTGCCCCATACCGCCGGACTGGCCAGCAAGAGCGCGCTCAACTATACGGGGAAAGGGAAAGATGACACTATTAGGATCCATATTCGCTCGCAGGGGAGTAGAGTCCATCGCCAACTCACAATGAAACAAGCTGCCATTTCTCCTGATGTCGAAAGTTGCCAGGGATTTGGATTGTAGCTCACCGGCTGCTGGGCTACGAACTATGTGACTGGAAATGATTCGGCAATCGTCTCTGCGCGCCGTTTTATACGCGCGCTTGGAGCAGAGCTCTCGAGCTCCGAAGTTGAGGTTATGTAAGTGGTGCGACGCGACGGCCGCTGTGGCAAGTGCAGGCGATAATCTCTCCGACGACGAGATGAATTGAGCTGAACTGAACTTGTGGCAGAGGCAGGGTCTGCTGCCAGCACGACTCATTGAAGGCCACATTGTTTCGTTTTACCTTTTCTTTCTCTCTACTCTCCACGTCTCTCTGCCTCTCTGCGCGATCGGCTAGAGTGTTGACCTTTCACAACAGCCTCATCATCATTGCCATCATTGGCTGCCCTTTTGCAAAAACACTCTCACTCACTCTCTCCCTCTCTCCGTCTAATGCCGCTCTTGCGCCGCGCTGTGCCCCTTTTGTGCTCCACTTTCGTTGGATCTGGGAGAAAATCCGAATGGCCCTAAGCCTCTGCTGCATATTATTGGGTTGGCTGCTGCCGAAAATCGTTAATAATCATCGACATTCCAGATCCAGTTTTAGTCTCAATCCAAGTCTTGGCCCAGGGCCGGTCCAGTGTGGCTGTTAACCGTTAGTTATGTATGTTGTATTCGTTAATGTTTATGCATGGTTTATGCATGCTTATGCAGATACGATACGATACGAACTTCCTATTGGCAATTCCTTATTGCTGGATGTCTGGGCCTGGCCACTTGCATAACGAATTGGCCAAGCCAAGGGTCTGCCTGTCTGCTTTTGCTGCTGGCCGTCGTTTGTCATTAACCCATTGATGGCCATTCCCGTGCCGGAAATTAACCTGATAACATTGCTTACTCTGGTGCTGGATGGCTGGCTTGCTAGAGCGAAAGCATTTCTCTCCCTCTCCCTCTGACACACACATTCACACTCGCATAAACACAATAACAGGTTTTGTTCTATTTATGGTTTGTTGGGTTAGGTCATTGTCTGAAACTTCTTCTATAGCGCTGAGAGCCCCTTAGACTCCCTCTGCCGCCTTCCACCCGTAATTGGGTTAAGCTTCGCCTGCAGCAGATCCCCAGCGCCAGTATCAAAAATATCTTGTCATGCTCGGGGGCGCTGCAATGCTGGCGAAGCAGAGAAAAAGTACCGTAAGATTTTGACTCGCTCATCATCTGGCTCTTACATCAGCGGAGAGGCGAGGTCATGGCCAGTGGCCGCACTGGACGCCCAGCGTCTCGTTCGCTCTCACTTCCCTTCCCTGTCCATTGTTTTGCTTTCGCCGCTGATTAGCTACAGTTTTCATTAGCATTGAGTGGTAGGGGGGAGTGTACGGGAGGGGGGTACTAGAGAGTGGGCTGCAATTTTCATCGGAAACGGGGCCATATGGCAATTTCGATTACGAACACCCGACAGTTGATTAACATGCCTCATCTTCCATCTTCCCATCTTTCATCTCGGTTCGGTCCCCATTCATATTGCCAAATCAATTAATAGACATTTAAATTCAGTCAAATTTGTAAACAAAAGCGTGGCATGGCATGGCCCCCTCAAAGTGGGGATGGAATGGATGCTTACATAAGGAACTAGTAGCAGCCACCAGAGCGACGCCAACGCAACCAGCTGTTGCCAATCGAATGATAATGATAATCATAATCATAATGATGTTGCTGATGGGATCTGTTCGACTGGGAATCGGATCGGAGTCTGCGACTGCGACTGCGACTGCGACTGCGTTTTCGTCTGCGGCTCTTTCTGTGGCATTCGAAAATGCATTTCATTAACAGGAAAGCTGGCGTGCAACACTCCATGGGGATTACATCTTCGACCAAGCCACCAAACGAGGGCCACGATGCTCATGATGATGATGATGATGATGGGTCTGGGCAACCGGTTGGCGGTCGCACATTAACATTAAATGCAACAAAGACGCATCTTCCCCGTATTGCATAATGGTCCCACCAGGTCGGAGCTCTTGCCGCATCTTCATGCGGAAGCAAAGTCATTCTCAAGGCGCCCAAAAACAAAAAGGAAATTACACACAGACACAGAAAGCAGCCAGTCTTTCGGATTTCCAAAAAAAAAAAACCAGTTGCATCTAGCCAACCGCTAAACGGGGTGGGTGGAGAGTGGTGGCACGTTGCAGTTGCCGTTGCAGACCTTTGCACAAGTTCAATGGTGACGGGAAATGGGAATGCGATTGGTATTGTGATTGTGATTGGAGATGGAAGATAGGTGATGGGTGGTGTAGGGACTGCAGACTACAGGGCCAATTATGCACAAAAGGGTGCACTTGGCTGGACTTTCTATGGGTTGCACTTCTTGGCCCCAGGCGAATCGAGTTCCAATCCGCAAAGCGAGTCAGAATACGGCGCAAGGTAAACTGCAAATGAAAACTGCATCGAAACAGTAATGCCCAAACGCTAACCGGAAATTGAGCACTAAAGCAGAAAACAGGCAGTCTCTGGTTTTCCAAAACACCAGTTGCATCTAAGAAACCGCAAAAGACAGTGGCGAGTGTTGGGACATTGAAGTTGCAGCTACAGCTGCGTACAGCTTGGTCCTTGGTAACGGGAAATGGGTTTATAATTGGAACTAGGACTGAGATTGGACCGCAGAGAGTGATGGATCAATTATGCTCCATACCCACCATGCTTGACGCATACGAAAGTAAAGTAATTCTTAAAACGTCGAGAAATAAATAGGAAATTACGCACAGACATAGAAATTAGCCAGTCTTTTGGCTCTTGCCAAAATCCCTTTCATCTAGGCAACCGCAAAGGTGGGTTCTGTGTTGGCATGTTCCAGTTGCATTTGCGCAGATCTTTGTACAAGTTCAATGGTGATGGGCAATGGGAATGGGATTGGGGACTGCAGATGTTATATGGTTGATGGAGGGAGACAACAGACTGATGTTGCAATTATGCTCCCTGGGGATGGATTTCTGGCCCCATGCGAATCCAATTCGAAGCGGACAATGAGAAAAAGAATGCGGCACAAGGTAAACTGAAACTGAAAACAGAACGAGATGAAAAAGAATGGGCCAAAGGAGGAGAATAAAGGCAAATGCAGCCATTGCTCTACATATTTAATTAGTTTCCGTTTCCGTTGATATTCGTTATCCGCAGCTGGCATTGTTAACCCTCCCCCCCATGGATATCCTCCACTTACAATGGTACCCATATAGCCTGCTAGCGCCCCACCCACCCCATCCAGCGAGAGGACAAATTGTCTGTGCTCTGTGGCGCTGTCCCTGTCCCTGGCGCCCCGCCTCTTCCTCTGCCATGGAAGGTTCCTGCCTGTGGAAAACGGTTGCGTAACTTATGGCCAGTCATCAGTCGAAAGTTTGTCCGGGGGCTGGAGGAAGAAGTTCCTCACATTTTCGATTTGTTTATCATTTATTTAAATGGCGCCGGCCTTAGGGCCGGGTCCAGTGCACAACCTTAAGCCGCCATTAAGCGGCTTCGATCCACATTTTATCGGCCCAGACATAGAAGCAGAATCAGAGGCAGGCCCCAGACCCGTACTGAACCAAGGGCACACACAATGAGCAATGCTATTTAATTATGTTGATGAGCACTGGCCGAGCGGGAGCCTCAAAAAGGAAAAGGCAACACGCACAAAGAGCAAATTCCTTCTGCTCCTTCTATTGAATCTCCAGTCTCTACCTCCTGCACAGTGGTTGTCTTCCGATGAGACTTGGGAACAAATTAACTTATGACTAACAGTCACAAGAAAATACGCTCTCGCTTTAAGCACTCTCTGGAAAGTTTTTGGGTATACACAACGCCCACTGTGCCGCATGTTTTGCCGAGTTGGCGTGCAGGTGTCGCTGCCAGAGTGTCAGAGGAGGAAGGAGTCTTTGGCCCTGCCTTCGCCTTTGGCCCTCTTTTCGTATGCATGCCCTCGTATCGTATCCAGATTTGATGACCCCAAATCCCCAACTAAAGCATAACATTTATGTATGTGGCCAGTGGGGATTTGGATATGGGGTTTGGGGAGTGGGGAGTGCGGTGGCATAGAAAACTATCAATAGCTGGAGTTTAATATTTCAGACTCACCTTTTTCATCATTGGCCCCGGCTTGATCATCACTCATCTTGACTGATTGTCGTCGTTTTGTTTGTTCTGTGGCTCTGGCGGTTGTTGCGATGCTGTTGTCTCCTGTATTTTGTGTCCTATGCTATATATATATGTATATATATATATATATCCTATCTCCTCAGCGCAGCGGCATGTCTCTCTCTTTCTCTCCCTCTCTCAAAGCTCGGCTCTCACTCGATATCGGAATGTATTGTATGTATGTAGTACTATACATATGTACATATGTCTCACTCCCTCACTCTCACTTTTCATGCATGCGGATCGCTTCGTTTACCGTTAATATTGTCACCGTTCCCTTTGTTAACCATTTTGTTGCTATTTCTCCTATGATTGTTGTTGCTGTTTTTGTTGCTGTTGTGCTTATCACGCTGGTGCTTTTCATGATGATACTATGGCTATAGTATGCAAATCTTATGACTACGACAGTTTCCAATAATGGCACTTGGCATCGCTGCGGCTGCTACTGCTGCTGCTGCTTCTGCTACTGCCCCAATCCAATCCAATCCAATCCAGTCCTCTCCTCCTACCCAGCACTCTCCTCCCAGCAAGCTTCAAGAGCCAAGCCAAGCTATGCTGCTTCTTCTACTTCTATTGTAAGCTTTTGCTGGCTTTTGTGCTGATTATTGCTTTACATTTTGTGATGCGTCTGTTTGGAAGAAAGAGGGATAGAAGTTTTGTAGATGTTAGAGAGTTTGGAGAAATGTACTAGTGGAGAGACTTTTACTTATGTAATGGCCTCATCCCAAAAGCAACGGGAAGGGCAAAAATAAATGAAATCTGTTCTCTCAGGTCTTTAGCCTATGGACGCCGCAATTGCTCTTCGTGTCATGTAACGGTAATTGGCAACGCGCTAATCCCCGGCAGCTT